TTGATTTTTGTTTGCTGATTTTTTGAAATTTCAAAATCATCAAATGAACCAAATTCATGGCGCTGATTGGAACAATATATTCTTGAGACTAAATAGAGGAAAAAAATCTAGTACCATTTTTTTCTTCTGACAAATAATTAGCGAAATATCGTGAGTTAAATATTGAAAAAGTTATTTCAGTTTTCCTTAAATATGTCACAAAATATTAGTTAAATAAAATATTGTTTCAGACAAAAGTTGTTTAAATTAATTGGAAAAGACGTTGTAATAAAAAATTCGGGTATCCATTTATATTATAATGTACTTAACATAACTTTTTACAAGTAAAAATGATATAAAAATTTACACGTATATTAGTAGTGTCCAATACTTCATTTATCATTACTTATTACAACACTGAGTTATATGATTGTTTTACTTGTTATTATAATGTACTTAACATAACTTTTTACAAGTAAAAATGATTACATGTAAAATTTATTATAATAACCTTTTTAAACAAAAAGGTAAAAAAGACGCCAAGTACAAGCGCAACACGTATTGTGCTATTTTTAGAAATTTCAAATTCAAATTATTTTTTTTTAAATATGTATGTGTACATAACATAAGTTTTTAAAAGTAAAACTTATACTAAAAAAGTGATACATTAAAACAGTAACGCTAACTGAGAAATCGTATACTTAATATTTTTAGAAATCTCAAATTCAAATTATTTCCTTTTTTTTAAGATATATATTATGTACATAATAAGTTTTTACAAATGATATCATGTTACAACAATTTTACACGTTTATTAGTAGTGTCCAATATTTAATTTATCATTATTTATTATAACACTGAGTTATATGATTGTTTTACTTGTTATTATAATGTACTTAACATTACTTTCTACAAGTAAAAATGATATCGTGTTATAAAATTTTAACACGTTTATTAATAGTGTTCAATATTTAAGAAAGATATCTTTTTAAAGGTTATTATTACAAATTCAAATTATTTTTTTTAAGTATATATGTGTACATAACATAAGTTTTTACAAGTAAAACTTATACAAAATAAGTGATATATTAAAACAGTAACGCCAACTGAGAAATTATATACCCAATGAGCAAAATGAGTGCAAATTGAGCGCAAATTGGCAGCAAATTCGATCAAAACTTGATGCCAAAACCATATGCAACTGTGTCCTTTTTAGGATTGTGTTTTGACGTCAAGGCTTGATGCGGGGCAACTTGCAGTAAATTTGCAGCAAAAACCGCGCAAGTTTTGGAGCGCATAACTTAGCATCAAATAGGCATCAAACACCGAGCAACACTTGCGCACAAGACACGAGAGCAAATTGGCAGCAAATCCGCAGCAAGCCTTGCACTCAATCAGCTGATCAAGATGGCGGCGATGTGCGTTGGGTTTTAAATGGTTCCTAACCTGCATATTACTAAATTTTAATTGCAATTTTGCATTTGAAAAGGAAAAGGTGTATACAGAAATAAATATTTGACAAAACAGACTGTGTAATTTATTATATAAACATATATACATATAACATCAAGAATTATCGCTATATACATATATGCGCGATATTAAAAGAAATTAAAAACGTATTGAGAGCATGAAGTACGCCCTGATCAGCAATGCCAAATTCCACCGGTGTACTCTGTGAGCAGCGGCGAGTTCTCGTGGTATAGGCAGCATGGGATCGACGTTCAACGAGACATTATTCACCTTCTTCTCGACCTGGTTCTCCATTTGCCTCTACAAACAGCAAAAATATTTAGCCAAGAGAAGTGATTATTCATTGTATTTCATTAGTAATAATATTGCTTATCATTAGCAGAAACATATATTCTAACAACTTTTTTTTTTTTTAACGAAGTATGGAAATCCTCATGGACACCCAAGGTTATGCAGAGCCTGGATGTGTCGGATTCGTACCGGCTAAAACCACACTCCGGTGCAATTAGGCCATTGTGGAAGATCCCGGAATTGTCAAGAAGAGACACATCGAGATCGTCCACAGCCCGTATAATTACTGAGAAAAAAAGGCTACAAACTGCATTCTGTATTGGCCAGCTTGCTGCGGGAGCTTCTAGGATGAAGAGAGGCGTCTCGCGAGGATGATGCGCGCAAGAGTTTCGGTGAGTGCAGATGCACTTCCGGATCCTCCCCCACATCATCCGAAACCAAAAAGAACCTATGAAAAAAATATGGGCATTAGTTAATTAGCTAGTACTCAGAAAATAAAAACAAAGGAAGTAACCTGTGCAACAACAGAAAATAAAATAAAATACAATGGTAAAATAAAATATTGCACAGAAAATTGAGTACCTACATAAAAACATTAGTAGTAATATGAAAATAAAATAAAGACACTTATCAAAATATCTTCAATTCGCCTACGCACGCGTTCAGAGTCGGGCCGCTTCTCCTCTATTTTCCTGGCTTCTATCTGGGCTTCACTTTCATACTAGACAAAACAGATTAGGAAACATTAGAAACAAGTTGATGCATATTGCCAGCAAACACTATGTTATATGTAACGTACATGTTAGTTGTAATTTTCTATTCAACAATGTAACTATTATATAAGACACGTGTTATATAACAGTTACATTGTAGAGTAGAAAATTACAACTAACATGTACGTTATATGTAACATTGTTTGCCGCATAGTTGCTACAATGGAAACTTTCAACTTACATTTTATATTCTTAGGTGCTCGGTTCCTCCATGTTGTCCTCTTCCTCTTCCTCATCGTTCCACAAGTTATCCTCCGCCCTCTTCCTTGCGGCTGTTGGACGTGGACCACGCATTCGTTGGCGTGTCTCTCCTTCGTTATCCGAAGAGCCTCCCTCATTTGCTTCTGGAACTCGGATCTCAGGGGCCTGTCAAAATGACGATTCCTACAAATTGCATCTGGAAAACAGGCGCACGAGTTTCGATGAATGCAGATACACTTCCGGGTCCTTCCCTAGACCATCCGAAACCAAAAAAAAACCTAAGAAAAAAATATGGGCATTAGTTAATTAATCTAGAGCTAGTACTCAGAAAATAAAAAAAAAGGAAGTAACCTGTGCAACAAAATATAAAATAAAATACAATAGTTAAAATAAAATATTGCAACCAGAAAATTGAGTACCTACATAAAAACATTAGTAGTAATATGAAAAATAAAATAAGGATACTTATCAAATATTCATCAATTTGTATGCGTTCAGAGTCGTGTCTCCGTTTCTTCTTCTCTTCTATTTTTTCGGCTTATCTGGGCTCCATCCTCATAACTAGACAAAACAGATTAGAAACATAAGGATGCATTTATCCCAGCAAACACACAATCGACGTATATAAAGATAATTTATTTGTGTTACTACTTACGTCTATCCATATGAATTTAATCCGGTAACAATATATTTTCCTATGAGGTCTTCTTCATCACTGTCGTTGTCAGCTGCTGCTTTTTCAGATAAAGGCATCCTGTAGCCCTTGGCATAAACTTGTTTTGATTTCAATAACAACAATGTCGCTACAAATGTTGCCACATTTGTAGACATGAAAAGCCGAAGAGGGCAGACCAACATTATAAAAATCTCTCCACTTCTAAAAAAAATTTTACAGACAACCAATAAGAATTGTTGTCTGTAATAATATTGAAGACAAGACAAACCGACCCATCTATTAGAATACAACAATTGTCTCGCATGCGGGTATTTAGGCATATTCCATTCCATTGAATTTTATTATATGAATTACTATTTTTGCTGCTCTTATATGGCATTGAAACATGAATGAATGAATTAATATCGACAGTATCATTTCTTCCGTGATGTCGTATTTCCGTCATTCTATTAGCAAATTGTTGCAAAGGTAAGCCTGGTTTTCTACAACATTTTCTGAAAATTGACATATTGTTTTCGTACGGAAATGCGGAAAAGAATTCTAAACTACCAAGACGCCTAACGTCGTTTGTCAGATGAAGCAAACCGTGAACATTGTAACTATTAAAATTTGAACCATACAGAGTAGTAGCACGAAGTACAAACTTTTGCAATGCAAGTTCCGCGAATGTAAGATGCTTTGCGAGTGACATTTGAAAAGTAAGACCCTTATAGCAGAGTGTAAAAGCAAGAAGTGCTTGTATAATTGTTCATCTAAAATATCATACATGACGACAGGCCCTGTATACAGAAGAAATTGACGAAATTCAGTTGCTTTATATTTAGAATACGAATCTAAAGATCTAGGACGTTTTGCAAAATCTGTTGGACAATATTGTTGTAAATTATGTAAACGAGCGCTAATTGTGGAAATTGCTACTGCCGGAAGTTTAGCTAACCATGAATATTTGCCATGTACCTATGCGGACAATATTTTTTTCATTACGCCCAAACATACTAAATGCATGTACTCAAAAGGCACTTGAGAAACTATTCCTATCGGCAACATAGATAACGGGCTTGTACCCTCTTTATGATGATCCTCATCAAGATGCAATTTATACTCTTCGTCGGTACGAAGAGGATGATTGATACCATGGAAGACGTGACGACCATCGCTCAGTATGCCACAAATTTTGCACTTGGAACAAGGACGAAAAGACATGACCACGATTATTTAAAATGAAGGCTCGAGCAGGTGCGTCAACTATGAAAGACCTTAATTTTATTGGTAAAAGGCTGCCACGAAAATAAACACCTCCCTTGGATATAAGTGCTGTAACATCTGCAATTAATTTTTCAAAAAAGCTACAGGATCATTAGGTTTGTGTGCACCTTTATAAATTCCTACAACAATTGGTTTGATATTTCGCATGTTTACTAATCTACATTGAATCGGCCAGATTTGAATGGTAGATGATTTATCTAAACTACATCCATCGGTATCCATTGGTATCAATTTCTAATTCTGAACTAATGGAATGACAAGAAGAATTTGAGAGACTTTCAACAATGCCTACCTCCAGATCAAAATGAATGTATTCTCCTGGTTCAACTTTGGATATAATGACACGATGCCGTGGTGTGTCTAGAAGAGTTCTAACATCTTTAGGCAAATTACTAAAGCAAGTGTGTGATCTTAAAACAGATAATATGCTATTGCCTTGAGTGCGTTAAATTATTCTGAACAAAAGAAGATGCCAGATTGTCACTGAAAGATGGTTCAGACAAATTGGTAAGAAATGAAGAGGATGTACAAGACACATCAGAAGAAGTTGAAGAAGAACAAGATTCCCTATCATCATCCTCAACGTCCATACTAATTGTATTGATGTCGTTAGCAACGAAATGAAAGTTATTTGAAGACGTATTTTTTGCAACAGATGAACCCGGTATCTGTTGTAATGTAGAATTATTATTACAGTGTACACGGGCATTGCATATGCGTGTTGCAGGATAATTTTTCATGCGCAACCTAAGCCTCATGTCACAAATGACCCTATTTCGCTGTCTCATGGATAACTTATGGAGCGTTTTACGTGAAGTGGATATTTTTAAATGTTCCATATTTACGTAACCTAGTTGCAGTAGGTAGGAGCCAAATGTAAAGTCCAAAAAAGCAGCAATTTTACAATGTGATGGTTCTCTCTCTCTATTCACCCTTTTCTTCTTCTCTTTCTTTTTCTTCCAGATAACACGAGGCAAATAAGCACAGAGTACTTGAAGCAGCTCACAATCGAACACAAAACCTGCTACGGGCTTCTGTACACAAACAATACTGCTGATTTCCTGCGAAAACCGCCTGAAGTGGAGGGAGTGTAAAGTGCGTATCACACTAGCGACTCGCGACTGCGACTGCAGCTGCGAAAGCGATTGCGACTCTTCCTCGACCAATCAGAAAGCAGCGATTCGCGGCTGCGACTCGCGACTTTCGAGCCACAGCCGCAGTCACAACCAATCACAGAACTCCGTATAATCACGTGACGCGCGCTCATCATTATCACACTTATTTAATAGTATTGTTGCGCTCACTCTTCAACTAGCAACACTCACACCACGCATTCGAGGAAATAAGAATACTTGTGTAAAAGAAAGGAAGATTTACTATTTATAGCTTTGTACAGACTCTCGCATAAATAATTCTCCGAATAATAAATCTCGCGTCTGTCTATCTTGACAGCTTCCCAAGAACTCTCTGTTTGCTGTTGTTATTTTTCGTTGCTAGGGACTCTCGATCATAGCAATGTGAACATACCTCGATACTTCGCAAAAGCACGGGCGCAACACTACCCCCTCTTTAAAATTGTCATCCCGACAATTAAGGGGAAGGCGGGAAGTCAGTACTTCAATATCTTCTAAAATGCTGTTCCAGAACACCAAGACGTTTTCTTGTCCTAGCCTTGGCTGCTGCTTCAGGCTCTACAGACACCGTCCTTCAAGGTTCCATCAGTCATTTTCTTGAAAATCGAAGGATTGACGTTTTTTCCATGTTCACGATGCCTGTTGAACGCCGTTCGTCTTCGGACAAGGGGGGTAGCATCCGTGGACCCGTCGTTCTCTTAAGAGAACACCCCAGGTCCCCACCTCAGTATTTGCCTATTAACTCACGGGAAAACCACGGTCAAAAACCGTGAGCGAGGTGGTCTTCTTTAATCATTCTATCTAGTCCTCTGCAACTAATTCGTCCAACAGTGACATCCTTTCCTAAAAAAAAGCGAAAGGAGAGTGTGTATCTTTTCTAACATAAACTTATATATTTATGAGTTTGGATGAAAATACAAAATTAGCTTTCTAATTCTCTGAATTTTCATGCTCTCGCCTTCCGCCGGATTCTCCTTGTCCCTGCTCCTCTGTCCTTTGCCAACGCCGCAATTCAAGGAGTTCCTGCCGTTCACGCTCCTCACCAAGCTGCTGCATTTCCTGCCGAAGCCGCCGAACAGCCTCCGCATCCGTCTCAACTCTCTGATCCATTTCCGCCGTTATCAAGCTTGACGCCACCATCGAAGCCTGGCTTCGGATTACCCTCGGCGAATGCGTCATCCTCTCCTTTCTCTCTTTTACGTCGGATGTTAAACGATTCACTTTTATCCCGGACGAGCCCCCAAATTGTTGCGCTCACTCTTTAACTAGCAACACTCACACCATGCACTCGAGGAAATAAGAATACTTGTGTAAAAGAAAGGAAGCTTTACTATTTACAGCTTTATACAGACTCTCGCATAAATAATTCTCCGAATGATAAATCTCGCGTCTGTCTATCTTGACAGCTTCCCAAGAACTCTCTGTCTGCTATTGTTATTTTTCGTTGCTAGGGACTCTCGATCATAGCAATGTGAACACACCTCGATACTTCGCAAAAGCACGGGCGCAACAGTATGTAGAAGTCGGTGATTATTAGAATAAGGTTATATCCAGTGTTATTTTATATGTCATATATATTTTCTTAATGTCAAAACAATTTAATAAGGAGATAGACTATTATTTAATAGGTCTCGTAGAATGTAAACCCCTTCTCTGGGATTGTACGTGTGACGGTATGTTAACAATATTTAGCCGCAGCTGCGATCGCCAATCGCAAGTGTGATTGGAAAACAAGAAATCGCAATCGCAGTCACAGCCGCGAGTCGCTAGTGTGATACGGCCATAATGTGGTAGTACTTGAACACGGCATCACCAGTCGTGTAGTTTGGAGGGAACGGAGAGATTTTTGATTGGTTACGCCATCTTGCAAACACTCCTAATTGGATATTGAGTAACCCACGTGTTACATGTTGAACGTTACAATCATTCCAAGTTTGACAGTTAGGGGAGTGAATACAGTGAAGCCGAGCACGTTAAGAGTGTGTAAAGAAGAATTACTGTTTACGTTGATACGACGATTTCTTCCCATTTTAATCGAAGTCTATTATACGGGATACAGGTACGCACATATTAATAATATTCGGACGGAAAATACATGAATCCCACGGTGAATCTGCATAGATTTAACGTGACCTATATCAATTAAACGTGAATTTCACATACTGATTTCACGCGAATTTCTCTTACTTACTTTACTGTTTACTTAATTACTTTACTGTTAGTCACACTTAACGTTAACGCAATATAGGTAGCGATTATGAATCTTTTCCTAAAGCGTGACCTAAGGCAAAATGTTAAGTTTTTATCAACTATGCACGATTTTCGCGATCGAGCTTGATGCTTGAAAAATTCACGTGAAAAGTTAAGGAAAAGTTGATATTTCTACGTTTCGCTTGGTTACATCATAATGATTAGACAATACAAATTATGAACTAAATATCTTAAAGACATGCAAAACACATTATATCTTTTGTTTATGTCTTTTGCACATCTTTAAGATATCTTTTAGTATTCTGTGCTGTCTAAGAAAGTTAATGTACAACTTATCACTTTCTCCAAGTTCATGCTTTAGGAAAAAATTCATGATCGCTACCCAAATCTCTATACTTTATTCTCAGAAACATAAATGTATGTGATTGTGTGCCATCTCGCAAAGAGACAATCATATATCTATCTTGTTCTACAGTTACGAATAAAGCACATGTGGCACCTGCGCTTGGAAATAAATATTAATGAAACAAATGCATATGTTTTGTGTATGTGTGTGTGTATACACATAAGTTAAGAAGTACCCCAGAATATTTTTATTAATAAGTCTTCTCAGCAAACTAGTACAATCGTTATGAGTAATATTAAATCAGGAAACAACATATTAATGTGACAATATACCAAATTGACTCATGAATATATTAATATATTTAGAAATGTGTTGTATATGATAAACTGTTTATGTGAAATTTTTAGTGACTTCTAGATAACTTCTAGATAATAACTGTAGAATAAGATAGACATTTGACTGTTTCTTTACAACATGGCACACACACTCAAACACATATCTGCTTTAGAGAATAAAGTATAGAGATTACATTGTCTAATGTTAAGTGTTAGAGCATGTTAATATGTTTGCATAGTATACAAAATATGTCATAATTGATATATTTACATACACAGATGGATCGACAGAAGCGGCACGTCACCAAACCAGCACGGTATCTAACTACATCATCTGAAGAGGAACCACCAAAGCGAAAAGGGAGGACAGCGACATCATGCACACCAGGAACAGTGGAGGATGACATCAATGACATCAGCAGGATTATTGAAAAAGAAAATTAAGTACTTTCTAACTCCCTACAACACCCTACATCAACACAAACATTTACTAACACAGACTCTGGCACATATATCTCACACACACAGACACAAGCACAAAACAATAACACCTCACATACGCATAGACATACAAATTTACATTATTCTGCACATACACAATCACATTCAGAATATACAACACATGCACAGACATACACACATTTAGAATATCCTCCATACCTACAACCACTCAGTAGGGCACAAAGTTTTACACAACGTTTAGAATGTGATATACCATATTATACTAATAACACTTTATGTGAGTTACAGAATATCATCCAAGGAGAAAAAACCCAACAACAACGTGAACATCAAGGACTAGAAACGAATTATACACAGAGGACCGCCGCCGTGCAGAAGGAAAGTATCGTGCAAAAGGAAAGTACCAATACAAGGTATAATACAAATAGGAATCTTCTCTCATTGATCTAAATGAATGGCAGAAAATTTACCAGTGTAGATAGGATGTACTCATTAATATTTATGTATAATTGTAGCAAGCTAGAGGAACGAATAAGCGCAGTGGAAGAAAAAATTAGCAACATAGAAGCGATAATGAAGTACGTATTGCATATATTGTATAATGCGTAATGTTAAATATTCTGACAATTTTTCATATTGTTGCTTGCAGGAGAATTGAAACAACACAGCAGAAAATTCTCAAATGTGTCCAAGAGCGCCATTGTGCACCAGCAAAGCCGCATAGACTACCCATTACAACAATGGAAGAAATGGATGCTTTTGAAAACGAGGATGAATAACGTTATTCGGAAGCGGTAAGTAAGATTACAACTTTTCGCAGCAGAATTGCTGTAAGAAGGAATTGGTTACATTATATTAAAATGTCACTTTTTCCAGGTAACTTATTTACATTACGTTGGTGGCTTCAACCTCAAGGAAGCTACACAGTTGTGTCTCAAGGAAGCAGTGTCCGACGCCCTAATAACACGTTTTACGTGGTTCGGCCGCGAGAAAGAACGCCGAGCATTATATGACACTCGATTGGCACGAGCCATATATGGTAAAGAATTTTTATCTATTAATGATACCATATTTCATTCAGTTTGTGAAAAACAACTTACTGTAATGGTATACTTATTTTCCATACGCTTTGCGCCTGTTTTCTAGATGCAATTTGTAGGAATCGTCATTTTGACAGGCCCCTGAGATCCGAGTTCCAGAAGCAAATGAGGGAGGCTCTTCGGATAACGAAGGAGAGACACGCCAACGAATGCGTGGTCCACGTCCAACAGCCGCAAGGAAGAGGGCGGAGGATAACTTGTGGAACGATGAGGAAGAGGAAGAGGACAACATGGAGGAACCGAGCACCTAAGAATATAAAATGTAAGTTGAAAGTTTCCATTGTAGCAACTATGCGGCAAACAATGTTACATATAACGTACATGTTAGTTGTAATTTTCTACTCTACAATGTAACTGTTATATAACACGTGTCTTATATAATAGTTACATTGTTGAATAGAAAATTACAACTAACATGTACGTTACATATAACATAGTGTTTGCTGGCAATATGCATCAACTTGTTTCTAATGTTTCCTAATCTGTTTTGTCTAGTATGAAAGTGAAGCCCAGATAGAAGCCAGGAAAATAGAGGAGAAGCGGCCCGACTCTGAACGCGTGCGTAGGCGAATTGAAGATATTTTGATAAGTGTCTTTATTTTATTTTCATATTACTACTAATGTTTTTATGTAGGTACTCAATTTTCTGTGCAATATTTTATTTTACCATTGTATTTTATTTTATTTTCTGTTGTTGCACAGGTTACTTCCTTTGTTTTTATTTTCTGAGTACTAGCTAATTAACTAATGCCCATATTTTTTTCATAGGTTCTTTTTGGTTTCGGATGATGTGGGGGAGGATCCGGAAGTGCATCTGCACTCACCGAAACTCTTGCGCGCATCATCCTCGCGAGACGCCTCTCTTCATCCTAGAAGCTCCCGCAGCAAGCTGGCCAATACAGAATGCAGTTTGTAGCCTTTTTTTCTCAGTAATTATACGGGCTGTGGACGATCTCGATGTGTCTCTTCTTGACAATTCCGGGATCTTCCACAATGGCCTAATTGCACCGGAGTGTGGTTTTAGCCGGTACGAATCCGACACATCCAGGCTCTGCATAACCTTGGGTGTCCATGAGGATTTCCATACTTCGTTAAAAAAAAAAAAGTTGTTAGAATATATGTTTCTGCTAATGATAAGCAATATTATTACTAATGAAATACAATGAATAATCACTTCTCTTGGCTAAATATTTTTGCTGTTTGTAGAGGCAAATGGAGAACCAGGTCGAGAAGAAGGTGAATAATGTCTCGTTGAACGTCGATCCCATGCTGCCTATACCAAGAGAACTCGCCGCTGCTCACAGAATACACCGGTGGAATTTGGTATTGCTGATCAGGGCGTACTTCGTGCCAATTATCAGGAAGAATTAATGGTTGGTGTCAGTTTGAGTATTACCACTTTCAAGTCCGCGAACGTCATTCTCTCTCTGAATATTATCTTGCAAGAATGTGTGTGTATGTTGACTCCGCGATCGTTATGATATCGTGCTGTAGTATCTTGATGTAACGGATGAAATGTTTTTAAAGTCCGCGGAGCATTCGCCTTCAGAGATTGTATTGCACGATTCAAACTGATTTCCCTTTTAGCATTCATTAAGATGTGTGAAATTTCCTTCTTTTTCAGGGAGAAATTAACGTCGGAGATTAAACTGATACACATACCTGCGAATTTCATAGAATAGTCCGTCGAGAGGGAAGATTACATCGAGAGCCGCTGACCAATGTTGAATCGATAGGATTAGAACGTGTACATTTTTGACGATGTTAGATTAATTAATATCTTATTTATACTATTCTGTAATATATCCTATACTATTGTTACGTCCTGGAGGAGGAACGCAACTTGACGCTTGCTTTCGCAAGCTCCAACGTACTCACAAATCTGCGGAACAGATCAAGGATCGGAATGACCCCTTTATCTGGCGCAGACGTACGTCGGTGGTCTTTTATTTAGGTCAAGGAACTGAATCCTTTTACCTGGGATAGGACCGTGAGCGACAGTTGAGGGAAGGGAGAATTTTTGATTGAGAATAATTATTTGGAAAACGTGATTGGTTTACAATTACAAACAACTTGTTTTATTAGTGATTAGACGGAAGTTCACAGTGAAATAAAATTTGTAAGGTTTTATAATGTGTCCGTATACATATGTGGTTAACAATCGCGCTCAGAACAATGATTCTCGATTACTCAGAACAATATTCCGTGTTCGTTATGTCCGACTGTGATCGAAAGGATTGGGCCACTGACGTCTGATTTAACAATTAAGGAGGAATGCCAAGGAGGATAGAAAACGGAAGTAAAACGAAAGGAAAAGAAAAGAGGGAGAAGAAAAGATAAAAAAATGAAACGAAAGAGGTCACTCAGGTAAAAGAAAATATAAGTAACTTACTGTTGGACTTCTCTGATCTTAGTAGACAATGAAAGGTGTGGTTGCTGCGTCTCTGTGAGGATAGATGCCTCAAGTTCTGCGCCAAGGACAGGCAGCTGGTTTCGGCAGGATCGCTCTCAATGACCCAAGAAGGCACAAGATCGTTGCACCGAATAATTAACAAGTGAAGAATACTGATCGGTCTAAGCCACAAGTTGGCTTGATTGTTAAGAAACCCTGAAGGGGTGCTGGAGAGAAGCGTCTGTCCTGGGTGCTGGATCGGCGAGAAGTGAGTGAGGCTTTTGACATTTCTCAAAAAGTCAGCTCGGTTGAGAGAGTGGGGTTTTGGAGGAAATGTTCCAGATGATTATTTTATAGGAGATAAGATGCATATGGCAATAAGAGGATTTCGAAAGACTTTTGTAAATAAAAAAAACGTGGCAGCTATCTTAAGAAGTAAATATCGATATTTATAAGAACGATGTCGTGGTATTGTTACCAATGGTTAAGCGCATGGGAAACAGGATAGAAGTTGATTCAAGATTGTTAGTATTTTCGGGGTATCAAAAATTCCAGAGATATCGTCGTGTGGTATCATGCCTGAGCGCATTCGGCCATATGATAAGTAATCATAAATTCGATTTCCATTATTTATAAAAGAAGTCTAGGGTCCGCTGAGTCAGCAGGACGTAACACTATAATATATTCTATAATATTCTATTCTATATTACTTATTCCCTCAATACGTGTATTTAATCTCTTTCAATATCGCGCATATACAGGGTAGTTCGTATGCCGACACCGCGTAATGTATGACGATTTCGGGGAATCGTCCGGACGGCGCGAGGGAACCCTGCGCGATCCTTGGTCGTCAAGAATCACCGGTGAAACGGATCCTACGCTCCGGTTGGACGGTTCCCCGAAATCGTCATACAACGACTTACGAACCGATCGGTCGGGCTTCCGCGCGGCTGTCTCGTTCTCCGTGTCGCGGTGCGAGGCGAAGATCTCTCAGCGTCGAACGCGTTTCTCCAGAGTCATCATCGTTCGTCCAATCGACACGATGAGTCGCGTTGATTCAAACGCGAGGCGAGATCCTGTATTCTGTTGGGCATGGGAAGTCCGTGCGATATTCGATCGGGAGCTGAGCGGACGAAAAAAAGCACACTTCGAGAATTACCACGCGGCAGTCGTCCGAATCGAACACTAGCACGACATCCGTTCGCTTTCCGCCCGAATCCCGTCGATGGTCCGGCCGTCTCTGGTCATTCTCTATCTCGGAGCGGAGGGGGTGGGGAAGAGAGCGAACGAACGGAGCGATTTCATTCGAATAGAGTCGGGTCCTCGGGAGTCGCGCGCGATCGTTCTCGTACGTACCCTGCGTGGACGTGACGTCCTGACTCTGCACCAATCGACCTCGCACATCGTAAAAACCCACTTTGCCCGCACGGTCACCTTCCACTCGAAGTAATCGTCGATCGGTCAACGCTAGATTGTCCAGCGATCGAGCCTGAATATCGTAGTTACTGGCGTATTGATGCAAGTGTTCCATAGGTCGAATACGATCGCTTTCGCGCGCCACTGCACCGGCGACGTTGCGAACATCGTTGTTGAGATTCATACCGATGGTGGACGACACGTCGCTACGAAGTGTGAGAAGAGTCATGCGTCGCGACTTTGTGATCAGTGAGGACGATGTGAAGGTGCCCCCCATTTATACCTAGCGCGTCCGCGATTTCGCAAATTCACGTTCGTCTCGTTGACGCGACAGCAAACGAGAAAAAAAGCGCGCGCGAAACAATCTGTGGCGGACGATCGATTATTCGTTAATGGCGCGATCGGACGACTCGTATCTGCGCTGTTCCAGCTGCGGAGTAACGTTGTCGTGCGACCTCGTGGTGCTGGACGACGTTGAGTCCGGACGCGACGGAGCTGTGAACACGATCTCGTGGATACGCTCGCCTTTGCACAAACGAAACGCCGCAACTACGAACGATCCGCGATGGTGCAGCCGCGCGATACTGCTGCTCGTGCGAGACGTTTTTCGCAAGGATCGCGTCGCTCTGACTGACGCGCTGTCGGCTCTTCTGCGCATCAGCGACGGAACGATCGGACATCGCGCTCTCTATCACGACGACGACGATTCGATCGATCCGAATCGCCAGCGACGCGTGGTGCTCTACGTCGACTCGACCGACACGGCGTTCTTACTGCGCGATCTCGCGCGCCGCTCGCTCCAGCGACATCGTCTGAACTGCTGCGCCATCGCCATCGGGTTCGCGGCATTGGAGCGACTGCCGTCTCCGCTGTCCCGACAATTGGTCGCGTCCACCACGGTATCGTTGAAACGCCGTGACTCCCGTCAGTACGTGAGACTGCATCACACGGAGACTGGAATATCATCGCTGCGTCGCGTCGTCGATTTCATGCCACTGGCCGAGCAAACGCGATCCGCTCGCATCGCGACGCATGCGAGCGACTTTTGCTACATGCACGACGATCACACCGTCGCGCGCGATGACGATCGATCGCTGCCAGATTCGTTCGAACATCACATATGTTGGATCTACGACGGACATCGAGAACCGTCGTCGTCGTCGCTGGATGAAATCGATGCGTTTCGACCGAACGTCGAGGAGGATCGCAGCGTTGAGTCGTCCGTGAAAGTGAACTACGCCCGTTGCGACTAGCACTCTCTCGCTACGTTATACGAGATTAGTCGCGTGGGCGTTTTGAACACCTGGTAGGTAGGGCGCACGTTGGATTCGTTCGGTCAACACGGCACACCCGACGCGAGCATGCGATTGTTCGAGGTGCCGCGATTCGTGCAATTTCACGCGACGTTACTGAACGTGTCCACGGAGGACGTTCATTCGGCGAGAGCTATTCATTGCGTGCTGTCAATCAATGTTGCGCCGTGACAAAGTGTCCGTGGCACACCTGGACGTTCGCGCTCACGGTGGGTCTGAACGCGATCGTACAACGGTACGGGACGCAGGCCATGAGAGATTACGCTCGAGAACACATCTGCAACGCGAGAAATCGCAAACTCAGCAGCTGCGGTGTGTATAGTGCGAATGTACGCGTTGACTCGCGCGATCGCGATTTGACGAGAGGAGCGTCGCTCGGAGAGACGCAAAACGTTACAACCGTCCTAGTGTTCGGCGCGAACCAATTGCACATTTTTCCCTTGAACGAGGAACTTATGTCCGCGGCGACAAAGATATCTCGTCGTCGATCGAACGAGACTCGGGTGACTCCTCGATCGATAGAGTACCGCGATATCGGCAATTGCGAATTGTTGCACCGAGAAGACTGCGACGATCGTCGATCCAACGTGATCGAGATAACGGCGGCTCTCAGAGACGCGAACTCGAACGTCGCGACGTCGACGGTCGTTGTGACCGCGTCGGTAACAACAATTCCCGATACGATGTCCCGTAGTCGCTCGTCGGACGCCGCGATGATTCGATGTAATTTGAACGAGGTACTGTGCGACTACGTGCAATAGCTGATGTCGTTCTCGTCCAGAAGGCGAGCGTAATCGACCTCGAAACCTGATCTCGCTCGTTGTGTCGTGGAGACCGTGAACTTTGAACTCTATACGCGCCGAAGCGACAGCGAAGAGAAGGGATATCATCGTTATCGTTTCAGCTCGTCGGGGTTCGGGTATATATATATATATCGCGACGTCGGTTTTTTTCGACAAGTCGTATCATCCGAGCTGCAAACAGACGTTTCGTGGACGAAGCCATGCGCCCATCGGACGTCTCTTTTAACCGAGTTCGAAGCGTTATGAGCGAGCCGACGACAGCGATCAGAACTAACAACGAACCGACCATTGTCAAAGTCGAAACATCGCGCAAACGCGACGCGTCGACCATGACCGACAACGAGCGTCGCACATCCTCGGACGACTCGATCGATGAGTCCAAACGATCCAATCGCGAGCGTCGCAGTCTCGCGACGGACCTGAGACTTCGAGGCAATTGGACGTCGTGATGCAGCATCTGAACGATTACGACAAATGGTTCCAAGCGTCGTTGTTGAACGTTGTTACAGAGACGAATCGCTCTCGCACGGAACGAGAGTCCTCGCGACGAGTCGAACCGACAGATTGCAACGACAACGCGATCGCCGATATCGAAGACGCTGAACACTCAAGACTGGAAACGTCACCGATGCTATCGTCGCTCACCGACGCGGATTACGTGAAACGCGTCTCGTGCGTGATACCGTGGCGTTCATTCTGGCGAATCGTCTTTCGGCGATTGTGCGACATTTCGTTTTTCGTCGACGTGCCGCAACGCACGATAGCCACGGCGCGCGA